TGTGTGTGTGTGTGTGTGTGTGTGTGTGTGTCTGAAAGAACAAGCAATATTTTCATGTAACAGTAAGCATGTTTCATGTGAAAATTACTACATGTGTTTATTACTACATGAAAATATAACTTGCTCATTGGCACACATTAATTCACTATATTTTCAAAGTGACTTGCGGTTCATTTACAACTAAGAGAGACTGGAACAGAATGTGATAGAGCAAGGTATTGGAGCTACAATCTCTCTTCAGCAGCTGTCACAGTGAGTGTGCTGTCACCACACAGGGCTAGAGCAAATGTCCTGAGTTTGGGCAGCTGCTTCAGGACATTCTGCTGTATTTTTAGATGTGCCCTTTTGAAGCTTATCTGCTCGCCATGACAGAAAAGAGAGATAAAAAGTAGAGAAGGGCTTAATTGTTTATTTTCTCTAGTGTTGTCTTTTTATGTTTTATATATCAACAAACGTTAGACTATGCCTTAGACATCTTTCAACTAAAATCAAGAGAAAACTGACAGATAAGATTAGTTAAATTCAAACATCACACACACACACACACACACTCTCTCAAAGATATGTAAATTGTTTGCACCTCTACACATGCTGTTAAATCCTGTCATTCATTCAGCTTTATCAGAACGTTCAAATGCAGCAATAAATAAATTTTCTAATTAAGCTGTATAAATGAAATAATGCTAGTAACAAATGAGAACGAACACATTTTTAATTTAGCGGTATGTATCATACGTATACATCCAAGTTTGTTAGAAAATAACAATCATAAGCATAAAGTAACACAGTAGCCTATAAGATATACCAACAACAATAAAGAGGCTAAATAAATAAATAAAGCAAGTCAGACCGTGTAAAGCACTGTTCACAGATGAATCCTCTCTCGTTGACGGACAGTATGTATGAATAAGCGGGACACGAGAAGAGCAATTCACCGGCTTCATACGCTCTGCTCACCCGCAGTCCTCTGCCCTTCCCCGGGCTGCTAAACTGCTCAATGCCCGCGATGCCCTCACACTCCATCATCACACACACACACACAAATCTAGCACTTAAAGTCCGCACCGGTGTTCCGAGTTCTGAGGTTTCTGAGATTTTCCATGTAAATGGGTGGAGCATATATGAATATCTATGAGTTTCCCCAACATGCACGTGTTATCCACGCCCGAATCTCAGAACTTATTTCGGGAAGGTAATGAATCTATTAAATAAAATATTTATCAAAAAGTAATCACGTTAAAGCGTCACGTATGCGAACGTATAGTTAAACTACAACTCGTAACACTTTATAGTTTGTAATATTGTTGTGTGTATGCAATGCATACACACAACAAAGGAAGATGTTGCAAGTCAAGCACAAAATGGTTTTGTGAACTGTATCTACACTCGTGGATCAAGTGACACGCACGGCTTCTTTTAGAGTCTGCCCTATTTAGACTTTCTCTCTACTGTTTTTGTGTTGCACAAATTCATCTACAAAAATATAGCATACCACACGTAACTGTACATTAAGATACCACTAGATGGCAGTAACATTTCAGAGATTGTCGGTCACGATCTCACGCTGTGGGTCTGCGGTTTGTAAGTAATATTCAATACATCCACACCTTTTTTCGGGCCTCTTTAGGCATATCATTATGTTCGCCTGTGGATTTAATTAAATTGTATGAGAAGGTTTTAGAATTAGCACTATACAATGGCAGTCGTGGCTGGGGTTGCCAACTTCAGAAAAGGAAAATAAGGGACAATCGTGGTTTTTCATAGAAAAATAAGGGACAGAATAAGGGATACACACACAGGCCTATTTTATATATATGTATATATATATATATATTTAAATGGAGTCTCTTATGCTCATCAATGCTGTATTATTATTTGATCAAAAATACAGGAAAAAAAAGTAATATTGTTAAATATTATTGCAATTTCTAATATTGGTTTCCTATATTATTATACTTTAAAATATACTGTATTTCTGTGACGCAGCACTGAATTTTCAGCATCATTACTCCAGTCCTCAGTGTCACATGATCCTTTTATAAATCATTCTTATTCTGATTTATTAACAGTGTTGTTGAACAAAAATGATAAATTATATTTTAAATTATATTAAAATAGAAAACTGTTTTGTTAAATTGCAATAATAGGCTATTTCAGAAAATTACATTTTTTTCTGTATTTTTGCAGGCTTGATGAGCAGAATACCATGACTGAGGTGAGACCCTTGAGCAAGGCACCGAAACCCCCAACTAGATCTGCACGGGACAGATTTTTCAGGCTCACTCCTGCAAGATTCTGTCCCGCTCCCACCCGCGACATTCATGTTTTGTCCTGCTCCTGCCCGCATAAAAGTAATCTATAGCCTATAGATTTGATATGACTTGTACATTTTAGACACTTCCAAAACTGTTGCAAAAGAGATGGAAATACAATTTTTAAATGCATGAATTATGTTTTCATCTTTGTTGCCACAGTTTTGGAAGTGCCTTTTTCTATTGTAAAGAAGGGGGTGTCCCAATACTTTTGTCCATATAATGTATGTACAAGTCATTGGTGTTTGGTGATGAGTTTTTGGTTCAAGGTTTGCATTTCAAGTCACACCAGAGGTGTTCAGCTGGGATTAGGACTTGGCTTTCTGCAGACCAGTCAAGTTCTTCCACACTGACTGAATCAATCTTTTTTTTTTAACCCTGCCTTATACACAGAGGCATTGTCGTGTTGGAATAGAAAATGGTCCTGTTCAAACTATTGGTATAAAATTAGAAGAGATTGTCATTGATATTTCAGTGATGTTTACATATGTTAGCTAGCGTGCTAGCAGCTTTCTGCACTCACCCCTACGTTCAAAACTGAGGCGATTTCACCCCAGCGCTTCTCTTTCTCCTTACAGTTGTGATACGTTTTCAACACATCATACAGACAGTTTTCCCTCCAAAGTTACCATTCCTCATTGGCTCACTCAAATCCCAGAGGAGTGATCTCGATAGAAGATAAAGGCCTCACATCAGTGACCCACCTGCAGTCTGCGGTTCTTTTAGAATCTGAGAAAATGAGGATGTGAGCTAGATTGCTTCTGCAATCCTTAAAGGGGTCGTATGATGCTATTTTAAAGATCATTATTTTGTTTTAATTAATCATAATTAATTTGTAATTATTTATATACATTTCCCTTTTGAGCTAATTTGCTACAAGGGTATCTGCTTGTAAACTAAAACATTTTATTCTAGAGTCATGCAATCTTTTTTATAAACACTTGAATGTGGGTAAGTTTCATAAATAAAAAATAAACAAAGAAATAAACAACATTTTGGACAAAAAGCTGAAAAAAGGCTATGAATTGGATTCAGAGTAATAATCAAAACGTAGATGGAGTCGATCAACACCCCAAAGCTGGACAGTCATTACCACTTCATGGGTCGACATTTTATTCCATACCGTTACACAGTTTTGATGCTGTTTTATGTCTGATCGTGTTAGATTACGTGTAGAAGCATCTGTTGTTTCAGTTTCTTCTTCGCTTGTGTTTTGGATATTCTGTACAGAAAGTATGTAATAGCACCCCCTACCGTATAACAATGAAAACATGGATCCCGGAGCACAAGTATAGCTCAAATATATTGAGTTTTTCTAAGTATAAGTCAAGTATACTTAAATGTCATTTTAAGTATATTTCTAAGAAGTACATAAAGCACATTTCTGAGAAGTACATAAAAAGTAGACTGAAAGTATACCTTCCTATTTTTTAATTTAAAAGAAGTATACTAATAGCACACTTGAATAAACTTCTTTTTCGTAAGGGTAGTAATGGAGGCTTGAGCCGTTGATAGCAGACTAATGCAGATAATAATGAACTTATTAGAGAGAGAGAGAGAGAGAGAGAGATTGCTTTAGATTCAATAGCATCATCAAACCCATTTTCTCTATGGCTGTAAAATCTGGGGCCCCAAATTTAAACTAAACTATGAATCATAGGACAAAAATCCTGTTTAAACTTTTAAATGATCTGTCGTTTTTATCATATTGCTTACTATATTTATTTGTCTGGCCAGTGTTGTTGTGGGTTTTGGTTATTGTGCTGTTGTAAGACCTTTGAAATAACAGAAATCATTTGGCGAAGTGATATGTCTTTGCCTCCACGTCGTGCATTTAAAATCCTTTAATGCACGGCAAACCGTTGATTATCCCTTACATATATAAAATCAGTTAATTAATTAAGATCGGTCAGTACTAAAATTAACCATGGCTTATTACAGTAAAAGTTTTTTTATTTTTTTGCGGATTGATTGCCATTTGTAAAACCAGAGTTTTACTACAAATAACATGGTTAAACTATGGTTAGTTTGTCAAAACTATTATTATTTTGTGGTTACCATGGATTAACTACAAACCCCCTTTTTTCGTAAAGACACTTGCTACAATTTACAGTAAAACGCAATTAGGCTATTGACGTTACTGCACGTTTTACAGTTTTTGGTTGTTTATTTGTTTTCGAAAAACATTTAAATGTAAGATTATAAAACATAAAAATTGCAACCTGTAACACTGTTTTCTCCTTCATTATCCATCGGAACTGATCCTTGGATTCGAAATGCCCGTGCAAAAAATGAAATATGAAAAAGATGACCTCTAAATGATCACATGACCTGTTAATTGTTTTTTTTTCGAAAATCATTTAAATGTAAGATTATAAAACATAAAAATTGCAACCTGTAACACTGTTTTCTCCTTCATTATCCATCGGAACTGATCCTGGGATTGGAAATGCCCGTGCAAAAAAGGAAATATGAAAAAGCACATACAATGATTATGTAAATATCAAAGATTTAATAAAGAAAACAATAACTGTATATAAGAAAATGTAATGCAAGTGTCTAAAATATAAGTGGAGATCTACAACTGAATATATACAACAAATAGCACATTATTATTTTTTTTATTGGTACTTTACTGTCATTGCTTATTAAATACAATAATAAGATAGATCGTAACATTCAGCTATTTTCTTTAAAAAACTATTCTAAATTAGTTAAAAAACAAAAAGAGGGAACCAAAGCAGCTTGGACAAATATTTTGTGGGCATAACACTTTTAATAAGGCAATCTTGATCATTTCTCTTGGCAAAGTTTAGCTACTAGTGTCTTGATACAAGGATGTGAAATCATTCTACTGAAAAAATCCCATATGAATGGAATGGAATAGGAATGTCAATGTTCATTTCTGTGTCGTTCAGTCTCACATAGGACTGAATATTCTTAGCATCCTTGAGGGTCTCAATAATTTGGTTCATTAGAACTTCCAGTCGAGTCATACTAGATTCAATCCAAGCCTGGATGTCGTCAATCAGTTGCTCAAGGGTCATCTCAGCAAAAAAAGTCCTGGGCCTTGGCTTTGACAGTTTTATAGTAGTCTTCAATAATTCTGCTGGTCTTCTCAGCCTTCTCAGCTATTTCATTTAGAATGTTGGAGTTGACAGTTTCAGAGAAAACTTTACTGATCCAGGATGAGAGCTTGTCCAGATCTTGAAATTTGATAGAGTTGATGAGCTCGTCTGCTTTCTCCATACTTAATTTCAGGATTTCAGGCAGTTCTTTCAGACAGTCATCAATGGTACTTTCTAGCTTCTCGTACTTCCTGCTGATGTCATCATAAATTGCAGTGATGAAATATGTTACTTTGTCCTTTAATGAAGCAACTTTCTTCTTCAGCCACAAAGTAATTTGACTAGGGAGCTCCTTGTTCCACTGTGTCTGGAAGCTCAGTCTGTTTGAGTTCTTTATTGCAATGTCAACCTTCAGAATGTCCACGTAATCCTCAGACTGTAATAAAAAATAGAATATGTCATTATCATGTCTACTTGTTAATTGAACATTCAAAGTATTAAGATATTCATTGATATGTAAGATACACTAAGGCCCAATTCCATTTCTACAACTTAGCCCTTCCCCTTTCCCCTACCCCTCCGTTTCGTGCGTTCACATGAAGGGGTAGGGGTGTCTCGGTTCTCTTTTGGTTGGAGGGGTAGGGGTAAGGGCCAGATAGCCCTTCAAACGAAGATTTTTCAGGACCACACTTCAAACAAAGGGGTATGAATTATCTCAGTGTGTGTGTGTGTGTGTGTGTGTGTGTGTGTGTGTCAGTAAGCAGCGCATTAATATAGAACACTAATTAAAGGCTCTAATGCACACCAGTACAGTATAGGTGTATAGTATAGGTGTATAGGAAGATGACGTATGATGACCCTTGACACTGGTGAAGGGGTATAAAATAGAATTGGGATTGGGCCTAAATGTATAATAAATAAATTGACTGATATGTAAGATACACTAAATGTATAACAATTTGTTATATTCTGAAATAAAATAAAAATAAAATAAAAAAAATTCTTACTGGGTTTGCACCAAAAAGTCTTCCTGTATGGTGGGATAAGCTCTTGCTCTGCAGCTGAAGACCAAGGAGTCCAGCAGATGGGGAAGATACAGAGACAGTAAGACCTTCTTCTGTATTCCCAGTTAATTTGTGGTAAAGCATCAATTTCACATCTGGCAGATTTACTTTGGCAGCATTTGAAATAACAGCCTTTGAGACTTCTGTGTTGGTCTCAAGAACTCCATTATAATTGTTCTCAAAATATTTATGCTCCACAATTAGATTGGTAAACAATTTCATCCCGGAATTCATGTTGAAGGTGGCAGAGCCACTGGTTTTCCCATTGATTAAACCAAACTCAGAGCTAACCTGAGTTTCAAACTGGGCAGCAGTTTCATCCTGATTAAGGATCTCAGCCTTTGTCTTCATAATGATCATAGCTGTTTTCACAGTGAAGTCATAGGTCAGGTCTCCCATGACAGGGATCATTATTGATTCCTTAATACTGGGAAGAGTGATCTTAGCAAAATAAGGACAGTCATATGTATCAGATGTGGTCTTGGCAGTTGCGAAAATGGGTATTTTAATTTTCCTAATGACAGAATTGAGGACTGGTTGCATGTTGAACATCTCAGGGTTCTTCACATACTTAAGCTTTGCATCCATATCAAAGGTCTGCTGAGGTGTGATCAAGATTGTTTTAAGGCCGGTGTCCTCCCATAAAGAAAATTTCTCTACATACGGTGTTTCTTTGTTAATGAATGGGACAGTCAATTTAGGAATGTTAATTGGCATGGTCAGCACATTAAAGTCAGCCTCACCATTGACTGATGCAGAGAACTGGATTTCCTGCTCATCGTTAGCCATACTAATGTAATGAGAATATCTATACTGATTGAACCTAGCAAGACTGATCCAGCTGGCCTGCTGCACAGAGGGATTCAGAGTTAAAACCATATCGTTCTGCAAATCAACTTCACTGGACAACCTAAAGGGAAGCATTACTTTGGTGTTTTTCTTATTCTTGGTGTCAAAGATAATTTCAAAAGGCACAGCCTTGAAGTTAACTGAGTTGGTAATGGTGCCTTCAACTTTCCCAATCAGTTCAGCATCATGAGACCCACTCAGCTCAACCATGGGTTCCTTCAAACTAATCTGCCCTTTCACCGCTGCAATGCTTCTCTTGATGAAAGGAGTTTCTGTCTCTGCATGCACATTAAACTTGATCTGAGTCAGACCTCTACTCTCAGCATCAACTTTCTGCTTCATCTTGAGAAGACTGCTCTCAGTGTCACCATCAAAAGTCAGTTTTATGGACTCCACGTTCATCAGAATCTCCAAGTTACTCTTGTGGGTTCCTTCATCAGAATAATCAAAGATAGACAATTTTCCTTTGCCATTATTTCCAAGGGTGAAAGTGATTATGCCAGATTCCAACTGAACAGCAGCTTTTTGGGTCATTGTGGCTTCACTGAAGATGTTGGCCACTGGCATGTTCACACTGTGGATGTAAGAGGTCTCCAGAGTACCTGAAAAGCCATTCTCTGTGCTCAGAAATGCATTGTTCACTAAGTCAGCAGTGTATGGCTCTGTGGTTGCCTTAGCTGTGGTCTTGGAAGATACCTGGGCAATAGGGCCATTGATGGATATTAATCCCTCATGATCCAGAGAGAAAGCCATGTGATTTGCCTTCACTGTCTCAGTCAGAGACAGCTCTTTCATTCTGGGAATGCTAAGGTGAGCAGTGGCATCAAAGGTGTAAGCCAAGAGATCAATAGGAGTCTGGAACTGAGAATTCAGGTTAGCAGTGAACTTGTCTGTTGAGTTATTAAGTTCAGCACTGGTCTTCAGAATGTGCTCTGAGGATTTGATTTCAATTTCACCATGCAGCATTCCAAAGCATGGGACCCTAATGAGATCAGTGACCATCTGCTTTACTTCATCAGCCAAGGTATCAAAATCATAAGACATCATTTCATTGACTTTGGTATTTAGTAATTTTGTCAGCTCATTAATTTGTTCAAAGATTCTTTCAAATACTGGTTTCATGTCAAGAGAGTTTAGGTAACTTGCAGCTGATTGCATAGTTTCCCTTAGCTCATATTGTTTCATTAAATCCACAGCATCATCAATGATTTTCTCAACCATTGCCTCAATCTCATAATCTGCCAAAACCTCATCAATTTTGTTGACAATTTCATTTATCTTGGTGATAATGCCAGTTTTTTGGCCCAAAATGTCGATCAAGTCCCTGATAGGTTGCAGGTTTTTGCCCATTTCCATTACTACAGCTGTCATATTGGAGGCAAAAAGTCTCACATCATCCAAGAACATGTCCACATCAAATTTTTCAATTACCTGTGAAAGTTCATTTCCTTTGCTTTTAAAAGTGGCTGTAATGTCATATTTAGTATCAATGCTATCAAGCAGGTCAATGCTACGATCTTTCATGGTGAGCATTGCAATTTTGACCTCCTCTATGAGAACAGGCAGCTTATCAATGAAAGGCAGGTAAATAAAATGACTATCACTGTTCTTCTCATATTTCAGAGCACTTGTGATGCCGAATTCTTGATTGTCATTGACTTTGTTCAAGAGGTTGGTGGACACGGTGCCTTTCAGTGCAATACCCATGTTGTTTGGAGTGTTGAAGATTTCCAGGGAGTGGTCAAAGGCATGGTCATTTAGCTTAGACTCCATATCGATGTTAAACTTTTGCTGCTGAGGGGTGATAGCACTGGTTATTTTATGCTGGAAGTTAGTTTTAATGGAGTTTCCATTGTTCAGCTGGTGAGAGGTTGAGGCCTTCCATTCATACTTGTGTGAGTATGACTTAGGTTCAGCTTGAAGGAGCAACATGCTTTTCACCTGGCCACTGTGTTTTCCATACAGGTTAAGTGCTCCATCAGAGTTGAAGAAGCTCTCAACATTCACACTGAAAGGTTCTGCTTTTGTTAGGATGTTGCTTTCCAGTCGGAGAGAGGGAGAGTTGAAGCGCACCTCATTGCCGAACTTTGTGGAAAAGCCAACAATCTCAAACTCAGAGCTTTGAGTCATTTGACTGCCCAAGAGTTTCCCATTGGTGCTGCACTTTGCAGTGGCTGTCTGGTCAACATACATGATCTCATATGTATGTCTCATTTCCTCTTCACCAAATATCCCCTTCAGAGTACCAGTAACGTCCATCTTGTAGGGCTCTGCCTTCATCTGGGCCTTGTTGCTGAAATGGATACCAATGACTTTAAGATCATTTTCGGCCTTCAAAGATGCTGTAAAGTCATGTATGTCCACTGCAATGTTGTGCTTGTAGAAGTTGTTCTTATTCAGGAAGCTGTCAGATTTAGAATGGATGGCCAGAGATTTGAGGGTAAGTATCAGTGAGTCTGTGTTTTCTATTTTAATCTCCTGAAGCGAAGCAATCAAGTTGTTGGAGAGGTTCAGACCATCTTCATTCAGCTTGAAAGTGATCATGTTTCGAGTGTTGGCATTGAAAATGTCACCCTTGTACATGCTGTTTAGGTATACCTCTGAACTTGCAAGTCTTCCTTCAACTTTGAGTTCAGCACTGTTCTCATTGACTTTACCCTTGCTGGAGACAGACACTGTAGCACCTGTAGTTGTAACTCCACCATGGAAAATGTTTTCAAAGGTTACAGAGCTGATCTGAGCACTGGTGGTGCAGCTAGTGGTCAGGCCATCTTTGGTGAATGACAGCGTGCCTTTGTTAGATGCATGGTTGGCAGCAAAGTTGATCGTGGCATCACTATTGAGCTCCAGTTCCTGGGTGTTTAGGGACCCAGTAAGCTGGGAGAAAGCTCGGTTTGTGTTGTCATCAGCCTGGGACTCAATCCTGATAGTGACCTCCTTCATGGTTGCAGAGAAATCTACCTGGATTTGAAGCTTGGTCTCATAAGCTCTGGTGACAGAATCAGACTTAATGGTAAACTTAGCTTCCTTGAGTTCAATGTTGAACTTGGTGGTGTGGTGGAATGGGTCATTCTCTATGTCAGTGTTCAACTCAAATGAAAGTTCTCCACTGGCTGCTGTAGCTTTCATCTTGTTTAGGATTTGGAAAACGGGGCAGTTTAACCTGAAAGTGGATTCAGCTCTTGCCTCTCTGGTTTTGGGTTGAAGTACAAAGGCTTGTGTGGCAGTAGTTCTAGCAGATATTGATCCTACTTTTAGTGATCCATCTAAACTGCCATCTCCTGTGATTTCAGAAGAAACAGAAACCTGGGTTGTGTATACCAGTGAAATCTGCATACCCATAGGGCTGAAGGCCTCAATCTTGTAATTTCCTGTTGCTTTCACTGTTGCTTCATCTGTGATTTTGGATGTTTCCATTAGACTGAAGCGTGCATCTATGAGCTTATGTTTCAGGGAAGAAATTATGTCGAACTTCGCAATGTCCTCTGTAATGTCAGCAATTTGTGCAGATCCTGCATGTAACAAATATTGTCATTAATTCTAGAAATGACAAAACAATTAAAACAAATCCCACCCAAAGACCCATATCAGTTAATAAAACTAAAATCATGTATCATGTATACTTCATGTATGCATATGTTTACCTTCCACAGTAAAAGCAAGAAGTTCCACAGGACTGTTAGCAACAACTTTGTAGCTTGCAATGTAGCTGAGCTCATTGACAGTGTTGTTGCCACCAGAGAAAACCGCCTCTATATCATAAAAGTTAGTGTTCACTTTTGCTGATACCTCTACCATTCCTAGAAGAGGCATTGAGAGGTCATAGCTAGTGGGAATGGAGAAGGTTGGTAGATTGAACTGTTTAGAGGGCAGCATTACACCAATTTGTGGCATAGCTAGTTCTGGGGTGGCCATGGTGAGAGGAATTCTCAGGTCCTTAGATGTTTTTCCACCAAGAGGCAAAGGAATGGTGAAAGTGACACAATTTTTGTTGAACTTGTATTTGAACATGCTCTCTCTGTAAATAGATTAAAATTAATTTGGAATTGAATGGATAAGCACATTTGTAGTTGGATTATGTAGATTTAAAACATTAGCATTAATCTTACATGTTCATGAACACCCTCTCAGGCAAAGATGGAATAACCAGCTCTGGAATGCTCTCTCTTAGTGTCTGAAGGTAGGGCACATCGGAAGCAATCTTGTCCATCCAAATGAGGTAAGCCTATCATATCAATTAAAATATTGGATATGGTCCAAATATTTGTCATGTCTATAATAAAAACTGTTTTAAATTTTATACAATCATACCTCCCAGAGTTTTGACGAAATGTGACGAAGTTTCATGTCAGTTTTGACAACTTTATGTTCCATGATGTTATCAAAAGCCTGATATAGGCGACTCTGAAGAGGTGCTGCATTAGGTATCAGCTTCTGGATCTCGGAGTCTATGTCAGACTTTATCTCAATCTTCATCTCATCTTTAGCTGTTTTAAAAGCAAATTATAACTTGTTATATTTGACAAAAGACCAAAAATAATTCTTTACTTATTTAAGACTTACTTAAATTAAGATTTTAAAATAAAAAGAGTGTGCAAACGGTGACAGGAAAAGTATCAAATACCATATTGTAAGGTAATCTTCTGCACAGAGTTAGTCTCTGGGAGCTTGATGTTACTCTTGAGTTCCAGAGTCAAATCGTCAGCACAATTCATGGTGGCAGTAAGAGTGGCCTCAGTGTTAAGTGAGGGCACAATCAACTGAGTTTCCAGCAAGCCATCATTCATGGCCTCAAGCCTGTTATTAGCAGAAACATGTATTTTAGATGAAAGGAACTTGCCCATTGGCAAGTGTTTCAAAAAGTTATTTAGAACTCTACTTACTTTGCACGACTAGTTAGGGAAAACTGGTTAATGTTTTTGTTGGAGATATCAATGGTGAACTTCTTTCCCTTTGCAAGGTTGTCAGTGACACCAACTTTAATTCCGGCTTCAATATCATAGTCAGGAATTTCAATGCTGGTCGTGAGAATATTCTTGTTCCTGTTGTACTTAATAGTGGCAGTTGCCTCTGTGGCCTTAGCACCTTATGGTAAGAAAAGAGGGGGAAAATTATCCCTAAACCCACAAAATCAAACACTGTAGGAATGTGGTTATATTATAACAGAGTGATCATGATTTCAAATTCACTGTTGTTAAGTATACATGCCTTCTGCTTTCAAAATAATTTTCAGAGAATCAACCTTCTGGCGGCCTTCCTTGCCCTCGTTCAAGAGTTCGTAGGCAAAGGCTGCAGTGTACTCAGTGATGTCACCAGTGGGTTGGATACCCAAAACAAAACTGTGGGCACATACTAATTTTAGCATAATACGTAGATTTATTTTGTGCATTTGTTTTTAAAGTTTGATTGTTACCTGGACTCTGCATTGAGAGGAAAGTATGGAGAATTTCTCTCAGCTCTAGAGTTGAGTATGGTGGTGCAGTAATTGATTCCAGAAATAAGGGGGCTGCAGTTCACAATGGCAGTTCTGTCACCTGTCTCAGGAACAAGTGTAACCGGTGTTTTGGACACCATCACTAACTTGTTGCTGTTTGTGAAAAATGACAAAAGGTTTCCCATTATATCACTATTAAACAGCTCACTGGACCAGATTTGTTGAAAGCTGATGCAATTTATCTCTGTACATTTGATTTAACTGTATAAAGAGTATATATTTAAAATAAACCACTTTAGACATATAGCACAAATGCTACCTGACTCTGAAGAGTTCGGTAGTGCTCTTGGGTGGCAGGATAGACAGCTTTATTTGGCCATCACCCATAGTGATCTTGGCATTGAAAGAGCTCTCATGGAACATATTAGTGTGCATTTCCACGGCAGAGACAACAAATTTGGGGATGTGGACTCCCATACGGGTAACAAATTCTACTGCCATGGAGGGTGAAAAAGACAGTTCACCCTGTAAAAAGAAATAGGAATACATTAGTAATGCAAATAAACATGACAATAAAAAGATGAAATGTAAATAATTTGTTATAGGGTACAACGGGGCTAAAGGCCCACCTTAAAAAAAAAGTGCTATTCACTGCGCCTAAAATGTATAATTGCAGACAAAAAAAATAATTGTACGTTGTATTGAACATTAATGGAGCAACAGATTTTGTGTGAAAATAAATCATTCAAGTTGTTTATTTTGTTTAAAAATCTTATAAATGTAAGAGGTGGCAAGGGGGGCCTTTTCCCCACACGGGGCAAAAGGCTCACCAGCATGGGGTAAAAGGCACATGGTATTGATACAAATACTTCAGCTAAAATAATGTTTTTTAAATTTAAGTTAATACTTGTTCAAAACAATCACTTTAGCAAAGTTTGTACTATTTTCTGCTTATTTTGAAAAATAAAAGAATACATTTTTGTTCAATAAATATACTGTCATTAAAATGTGTTAATATAAAAATATATATTTTAAAATACAGAAACAAAATCATTTTAATAAGTAAAGATTCTGAAAGCATCGAAGGAGATCCAATAATAATTGAATATATATTTACAATAGTAACTACAAATTATATTTTATTATATGATATGATTAATATCATGTTTTTAAATATGATGGCTTCTCTCTAAACATGGTGATTATCTCTAATATGGACACTCAACATAATATATGATATTTACCATCTGAATCTAACCATGTCATGTCAACAAATGGAAAAGTCAGCCATCTATTAATTATCATGTTAATTGCTGTGCGCCTTTAGCCCCAACAGCAGGGGCGCTTTTTACCCCAAATACCATACTTTTACATATTCTTTTGTTATTTAAAAACTGTTGCTTTAATTATCTTAAACAAAACTGAAAATCATAAAGAAGACCTTTGTCTCAAAATATATGCATTAATTTGAGCGATTCTCATTTGCTACTTAAATCTACAACATTTTAAAAAACATAAAATATTAGATCAAGTGAGCACAGAATCAACTTTGCACTGCTGCGTGCGATCGTGTCAAAGATCAGACAATTATACACGTGCATCTTGAAAAGCTAATGTTTCGGAAAGTGCTACACCACATTTTTGTGCCATCTAGTGGTTTAGATGAAAATAATATCAAAGTCGCCTTTTACCCCGGGGCGCCTTTAGCCCCGTTGTACCCTACATTTTTCTGCATAAGCCATTTGGAGACTGAACAAAAAGCAATCAAGGGCAATATTCAATACCCTGCCAGGCTCCATACGCAGACCACCCTCAACACCAGGTGCAAAAGTCCCAGACAAAGCAAACTTAAGGGGAAATCCAGAGGCAGTTGGAAGGGAGAACTCATTATCCATAAAGATGTAGTGAGCAAAGATGCTCTGATCTCCAGACATCAAGGCTTTTGTAATCTATTGAAACAGGAATATGTAGAATTTTTGCATATATATAGTGCCTCAAAAAAAAACTATATATATATATATATATATATTAACCCAGTGTTGTCCGATATATGAGAGAGCTAATATAGATATATTTTATGCATGTAAAATGCAGCATATTGTATATACATACCCAAGCAGGTGAGTACTTGAAGGCCTGAATATACGTGGCCATCCTGTCAACAACGGCTGACAGGTCATTGGTGCTCTTGATGTATCCCAACTCATTCCCCATGATCCTTAAGTAAGCTATAGCCTCTGGAGAGTCCTGGTTGTATAGATCCTTTGCAAGCTTATTGAAGTTCCGCACCATTTCCCTTATAATGTTCTCAGGAACCTGTCAAAGAGAAGATTCTGATATTATCTAGCCTTGGATACATGCATGAAAAATTTAATCCTATAAATACATTACCTGTCTTTTAGTTTTTTCTGTTCTCAGGGGTTCAACCCATTCTTGAAGAACTTCATTGATTTTGTTTGGCATTTTGTCCCCAAACCAGTACATTGCTTTGGAAATCGAATCAGGGAAGAAGCCATTGCTTCCGAAGAGAGTCTCAACAGTTGGCTCAAATCCTTTGCCCTCCATGCCAATCTTGGTGACCACAAAATAAATAAATAAATTCCAAAAGTCATAGTCAAACCAAATGCACCAAGTCCATAAAAATCAAGGATAAGTACAAACAAAAAGTAATAATTGAATCATATAACAATTGAGTTTTACAGCTAATTAAATACAAGTACATAACACATGAAAAATCCTACCTCCATGAAGTCAAGGTTGTAACCGAAGGCTTTCAGGGTTGTCTCAAGCATAACCTCCCTGGGCAAGTGGCTGCTGGGATCAAAGATGATGCTTCCCTGCATATTGGAGCCCATGACATCCTTGCCTGGCATAAATACATCCATCTTATAGTTACGAGAGAGCTGAGTGTAGTTTGAGTGAGTAAGCACCTCATCATCCTGCATGACCTTGACTATTGTTTTGCCCAACCTGGGAAGAAAAAAGTTATAGTGTTGAGGATAAAGAGCAAAATAAATGATAGACAGCAGTTGATGTGTTTTGCATCCAGTCTAGAGAAAATTAACAAACTGAGATACATACTCTTTCATTTCAGGATTCCTGGAATGAATAATGTTGTAGACATGAGAAGCCACGAAGGACTTGACTTGCACATTCTGGTCCTGGGTAAGGATCTTCCTCACAACCTCCAGGTCACTTGCTTCTGGCTTTTTCATCAAGATAAGATATGCAGCCAATCTCTTCTGAACAGCACCTTTGACATAAAGGGCCACTCTATGAATGCTGGAACGGATCTGAACATTTAAAAAAAAAAAAGAGAGAGAGAGAGTTTGGAGTGTGAAGTTAGTTTTCTTATTTGGATAATTCCATGCATAAGACACACATTTGATTCTGAAAATATATAAATTGTTCAACAAATCCTGCAACACTTACATCAGGAGTCACAGACATTCGTCTGAAAGCCTGGATAGCAGACATCTGGACTGACAGGGTGGTAGCAGGCTGTCTCATACACTTAAGCAGAGTTGTCTTTATGTTGGGATCAGCTGCTTCCATAGCCTCGCCCATGTTTCCAATCACCTAACCAGGGCAGATTATAATAAAATAAATTGGTTTTCCAGTGTGAAAATGTCCAGAAATATAGATGTTAAAACACACACCCTTAAGGTCAAGTAGGTCAGATCTTTCTCGCCAGCACAGTCAGCACCAAGGATGGAGTTAATGAAGTTAGACACCTCAAGAATCTCAGACGTGAGCTGACCCTCAGCTTGGAAGTGCCTGAAGAAATATATTATATAAATGCTCAGCTACAGTGGAGATATACTGACAAATACTTCAGCTAAATGAAGATGGCATAGCTGATCACAAGCATATGTTGTACTTTGGATTACAGTGTGCTGATGTTTTACAAAGCACAATTACTTTGGTGGACCAGCTTCACTACAAAGATCATACAAATGACAGTCTTCACCAACCATGTTTTGCATCTGACACCATGGTGATGCTGGCAGCACTTAATTAATATGAACGAGCCTGGACAAGCTTGAAAATCCATGCTGTTCTATGCTGGTCTTTCCAGTAGGGAAATGAAAGGACTTAAGCAGTCTAGAAATGGAAAATAATTTGCGTACCTCCTTACAACATTGCTGAGAGCATACATTATTGGCTTGCTCTTCTTGGCCTGCGCAATCTCCAGTATGTCTTTCACCAAGAGGCCAGTAGGTCTGAGCATCATTCCTAGAGCATAGACAGCAGCATCTACCTCAATGGCACCAGTTTCAAAGGTCTTCAGAATACTGAACATGGCGCTGCCACACTCTGGGGTGCCACACTGAATCAGGGCCTGCCAGGTCATGAACTTGTCCTCCTCCACCATCTGAGTAATGGTCTGCTTCAGAACCTCATGCTCGAGTCCACGGAGTTCAGACACCAAACTCTGGAAAGTGCTGGCCCTCAGCTGCCGATCTGGCTTTTCGTTCATGGATTTCAGCTCCCTGAAGATGAACAGCAGAGCCTCGGAGGTCTGGGCTGGGGCTTTATCCTCCACTGCCTCTAGAGCCAAGTGTTTGGGGTAAGTAGAACCTGTATTTTGGAGAGCGGGATGATTTGTGAGTGAAAGGCTACATAGTCACAACCAGGGAAAAAATTAAGTCAGCACATTCCCAACAGTTCTATCATTTTTAACCAGACAAATAAAATCCAAAGTTCTCAAATCTATTTGAGATATACAGTGAAACTGGGAACACTCACGATAATCAAAAACTCTGTCATTAATCTTGCTGGTTCCCTCAAGAGTTAGGATTTGTTTAACAAGAGAAGAAATACCATACGTATTCCTGCAAAGAAAATGAAATACATATAAATAAATTAAAATATGATGTTCCATTTATGCACAAATATCATTAGAAAATGTAGCAAGTAATATGATGTCAGTGTCACTCACTGGTAAGAGAAAGGAAGGAATATGTGCTTCTCTGTGCACGTAGCAGAGGTCATGTGCTTCTTCTGGTTGTCGAACTTATAGTTGCAAGTCTGGGTACTGCCAATCAGCTTGGACAGAGGGTATTGCTTTTGACAAACAAATATAATTTTAAGTACATTATCTGTTTCTTGAAAATTATTTTTTCACCTGTTGTTGGCTCAGTCTGTATGATATCCTGCTTTTGTCAATATTGGTTAGCGTTTACTTGCCTAATCATGACCTGTTTATTTAAACATTCTGTAATTGATGATAATTAATGAAACAGAATTTAATTGAATTGAATTTTAAAATAAAAATAGACTAAGAAGCAATGATTTAAAGCTTAACCCATCAGATGGTATGATATGTATTAAAAAAAAGTGATTTTCTCACCAAACCAGTGATGATGGCAAGAGGGCTGGTAAGGCTTCTTTGGGTTTTGAAAGTATCACATCCTGACAGGTCCCTAGTGAGGGTGACATCAGTGGCAATATCTTCCTTGGTGTTGACCTTGACATCAGTGGCACAGATTCCATGGACAGTAACCTAGATTAAATAATCAATCAATGGAAACTAGATCATTGCAAATGAATGTTTGTGTACAGCAGTGATTGTGTAAAGTATGAGTCTCGGGGGGGGGTTCACACAGATACTGTCCTTCAAGTCAGACGATTTGCCTTTAGTTGCATTGCACTACACGTCTGCAGCAGACATGGTGAAAGTGAAACATTTCATTGCAGGTTTTTCTGGTTTTAACAGTTTCTATGAAGCCCATATTTATAACACATTACAAGGGTATTCCTAAGGCATTATAATGAATGCATTATTAAAAAAAACAAAAAAAACTTGTAATATGTTTTTATCATCTCATAAATAATCATAGCAACAATTATAATACATTATGAAACTTACTTATTTGTGGTTATAACTTTTATGAAATATGATTAATTATAACATGCAATGAACACCATGTTAAATCCACTTAATTTATAATGGTTTATAAGTCTCATATCTTGACATTATTTATTTAAGATCTGCACAGAATCTTACTGATATTACTTTAAATATGGTTAAAAGCAAATGTGCCATATAACACATTCATCTGATCAATTATCTGACCTTATGGCTGTTTAAGAAAAAATATTGTTTTTATTTATTATTATTGTTGTTGCTGATGTTGTTGTCATCGCCGTCATCGTTGTTGTTATTATTTATAAGTGGTCTTTGTCTGCTTTATGTAAAGTAACAAGTTAACAATGGCAAGATATGAGACTTATAATCCAGTATAACTATGGGAAATATAATCCATTGTAAGTGAATGCATTTTGTTCATTGTGTGTTATAAATCATCATATGCTTAAAAGCTATAACCACAAATAAGTAAATATTATAATGCATTAAAACTGTTGTTATAATTAATTATATCATTAATATACAATATATTATGTTTTTTTATAATATATTATGCATTCATTATAATGCCCTAAGAATACCCGTATAATGTATTATAAATACGGGCTTCATAGAAAGTGTTACCAAAATGTCTTTAACTTTTCAGAATTTTTAGTGAAATTATTTGGTAGGCTGAGGTGGGGTGGGGTAAAGGATCACTACTTATTTTCAGTCAATGGATTATTAGAGGATTTTACACTAGACATGGTTTGCTATTGTACAATATGCAGTCAATATTTTCTGATAGCATGTCAGAAATGCTATTATAAGCATACATATAAGCATACAAATGCTACATATAAACAGAAAAAAATTATACTGATAACTCACTGTTTTGAGAAATTATTTCCCACCTCTTATTTTGATTTATTCATTTACCTATAGCCATATGTGGCCAAACATAATATTTTTAATTGCAATAATTGTATTACTACTAACAAATACAAACAAACTACTTTAAGGTAATGTACAGTAATGGTGTAGTGGCGATTGGGGGCTCTGTCGGAGCAAGGATATTTTAGATATTGATTATTCATTACTTTGTATTATAAAAAATAATATTAATACTAAGCAAAAATGCAAAAGCTGGCCTTAGTATTTTTTAGCAAATCCTGAGATTACTGAAATAATTGTTTCAAACCTATCATTAGGTTTATGAGGATGTAGAGGCAGTATCATGCATATCATGAAATAGTCTCCTATCAGCTGACTACCTGGGTTAAGATTACCTTGTACCTTCATTGGAATTTATTATTCCAGATAAGAAGATTCATATCTTATTTGCTTAGTGTTTAAGTGGGTGTCCATAAGAGCAGTGCTTAAATTAAATTAATCTAACAAGTTCAACATACAATAAAAGGCAATTCATATATTTTCAGATTAAGGCCTAAAGGAAGAAGAAAACGTGTTTATGTACCATGTCTTTGCTCTCCTCCTTCTCCATGACAGGAACAATCAGAGCAGAGATGATACCCCTCTTGAAGTTCAGGATGTTGGTTTCATCTCCCTCAGGATAGAGTGTCACACCTGTCTCACCCTCAATTACAAACTTCAGTACATTTCTGTACAAAGAGAAGGAATAGTTGTTGAATAACTTGTTGAAAAGTTTCTGATCAATTTTAAAATCAGTTTATTCGAAACTGGAGACCGGTCTTACAATGTATAGTTTTAGAGGTATTTAAAATTTTCCATTGGCTGTTGGTATATTTAAGCAATATTGGCTGTGCTCATTTGGAATATTTGCAGACCTAACATTATTTTCTCTAAAGGGAAGGGGAACATACTTTTCTATGGCTGCTTGAAAGGCTTGGGCGTCAGCAGCAGGTGCATAGACGGGTGCCCCATTTGCATCCGTTCCGACCACCTCAGTTAGGGAGCACTCACTGGTACGGAGCTCAAAGCTGCATGCCACAGGCACATCAATTTCGACCTATGGATAGAAGGGTGTTAATGAATTTAAGGAATATAAAAACAGGAAAGACATATTGAGAAACTGAATTGTTACATGATTTTTCACCCTTCTATTGTTACATGTACCTTGCAGGAGATTTTGGGACCATTCATGAGAGGGGAAGTCCCAGTCACCCTGTTCTGGATCTCAGCTTCATATTGATATGTATATTGTTTGTAGATCTTAAATCTTTTAGATACTGTAAATGAAATACATACTATATCAATTCAAAAATGATATTTTTTGTAAGAATAATAACACACTAAGAAAAAAAATCATATTCTCAGTACATTTATTTTTCAATGAATTTCTTGTTGTCCAATAAAAATTGTTCGGTTACACTTTATTTCGATAGTCCACTTTAGACATTCTACTAACTATAAGTAACTTTGTAACTACATGTCAACTACATGTCAACTAGATAGTCCACTAATACTCTACTAACTGCTAGTTGACATGTAGTTGCAAAGTTACTTACTGTTAATAGAATGTCTAAAGTGGACTATCGAAATAAAGTGTTACCAATTGTTCAACAAAAATGTAGGACATACCATATATAAGATTTTAAAAAAAAAAAGAATGTATCTTAAATATACATTCTGAATACACACGTTGTCTATCGGCACTGGTAGACTTACCCACTCATTTTCTTAAAGGGTTATTTTTCTGGGGAAGTTTACATATTATTTCAGGGAAACAAGACTAATAAAATAATGAAAAAATGATTATTTAAATTTGTGTGTGTGTGTGTGTATATAATTAATATTACTTTGTTTAAATTTCGTTACATTATGTTGTTTTATCTAATCAAGACGAGCAATAAGAAATCTGGACTCTGACATCCTGACTCAAGCTCTGTCTGTTATCGATAAAGAGTACATGGCCACCTTAGAATGGTGATGTCATTTATTGAGGGTTCAAAGTAAGTGACAACAACAATAGGTACAGTGAGTCCAATAGGTAAAAGATAAGACTAAATTAAAGGGATTCTTTAACATGCGTAAGCCCTAAACACCATGAATACAACATTTAATCAAAGGATAAGAAATAAATAAAGAAAAATACTTACAGTGACATTCTGGATGAGAATTTGACTCAATTTCTTGCTCTGGTGAGAATGTCATTAAGCAATTATGATTAGGGAATATATGAAAACAAAACTAAAAATACATAAATATATTAAAAGGCAAATCAAAGATTCAATTTAAAAAATTCACATTTTAGGTGAATTCAACCTTTCACTCAACTTAATAGCCTTGACAGAATATAAAATGTTAAAAATATGATGTAGTATATAGGATGAAGAAAAATAAATAAAATATTTTCAGTGCATGAAATGCACTAATGAAATAACATTAATGCATCAGAATGCGAAGGAACATTATACTCACGGGCTATTGCATAAGTCCCAAGTAGCAGCAATAGACAGAGCTTCATATTCCCCATGCTGCGTCAGAAGAAGTCCTGAGTTTACAGCGAGTCTTCCTCTGAATGGAGACTGGCGGTGATCATCTGGCTCGCATCATTTATACTCGGATCTATACAGTTCACTTTGGGGGTTAAACAAGAGTTGCGACAGGTCCAAAGTTCCATCAGCCAGTGTGGCAGGCCAAAGGCAAAAGCTGTTTCATAAACACCACCCAAGACTTGCCCGTCAGCAATGGAACTGATGGAACTCACTGATTGTGTCAGACAACAGCAACCACAGCTTTTAGACTACCTTGATTGATTTTCTTTTCTTTCCTGTGAAATCTTACATAGGTCAAAGGTTGTTTTTGAGGAGAAAGACCAAACTAGTTCCACAATGTTCAATGTAATGTTATTTAAAAATTGTAAAATAAATTGTAATAAAAGGGCTAAAAGGCATTGAAAGGCCTTCACTTTCTTTGGCTGTCATTAAATATTCTTAATATTACTTACAGTTAAAACATACTAAAATATTACAGTCATAAACTTTCAACAAAATATTATTTTGTTAAAGGCAATTTCATTACAAATGCCACATATTACATTATTCCACTAGACAGTATATTTCCTGAATTGTAAACTAAGGTTGTTAGCCTTGATATGGTCCGTCAGTGAGGTAAGATAATCAGGTCTTATGCGTCGTAGCTGTTACTATATATTGTCATTTGGCATGGCAATCATTCAATCATTTGGATCATTCAACATCCAAAACTGGGAATACATTTTTTTTTTTAAACCTGACTTAAATCACATCCCAGTAGTTACTACCATTTACCATTTTCTTTAGTGACATATGTGAGTCATTTTCTAATCAGAGTTATTTTCAAGCAACATGCCCTCTCCCAATTTACAACCCTTATCTTTAAACCCAAGTCAGTGTGCAAAAGTTCAGAGAACATTTCAACTATTTAGTCCTAATGGACTGTGTTCTGAATTATCTACTCTAAATTATCTACAGTATCATTAGCACAGGACCTGGATCTTATGGAAAGGATATAAACAACATGTGTTGAGTCTCAAATCTTATCTCAAATTTTAATTTTGTTTTATTTTATTGTGCTTCTAATGGTTCAATGGTTCAATCATAGTTCCATACTATATTTAAAATCTGAATATTGTTGTAAATATGTATGCTTATTTCTTGCTAGAAATGGAATATGGAATTAAGTGCGGACTTCATAAAATGACCACATAAAAGCATTGAATTTAAAACTAGTTTTAATTATAATAATTGTGTTTAAAACATTACAACATCTATTTTATCTAACTTCATATGCAATGTTCATGGCAATATGATAAACCACATTTCACATATGTGTTCTTTTTTTAATGAATTTCAAAGTTTTTTTTCCCCTTTAAGTATTGAGTTGGCGTAAATATTTCAAATATACAGTTAAGAATGATTGTAAAAAACTAAACTATTTTCAAAAGAATAGAAAGTCGAAGTGAGCTTTTTTTTATGTTAAACAGTGTTGGGCAGTAACGCATTACTGTAGTTTGATTATTTCTTTAGTTTTAACGAGTTATAATTTCCAAAATAGTAATTAGAGTATAGTTACAAGCCCAGGTCACTTTACGTTACTGCTGCGTTACATCGTTGAAAAGAGAAATAGTTTTTTTAAAGTAAGTCTCACAAAGATGCCTGCCTGTCGCAAATGCGACGTCATCTACCTGAGACTACAAACGAAAACAAACTCAGCATGGATAGTGAAAAGTACGCGTTCGCCAGCTGGAAATACAATCATTATTTTGAGTTTATTTCTGTGAAAGGCAAAAACATAATTGTGCGTTGTCATTTATGTGAGGGGGAAGAAAACCTTATCAACATCTAAAAACTCCACACCTAAAAGGGCAGCGCAGCATGGTAAAACTTATTGAGAAGGTACCAGGCGCGGGAAAAAAAGGGACATTCTAAAACGCTTAATGTGAAAAACGCTTAACGTGGCTTAACGTACGTAAACAGCGACCTGGGAAACCCAAATTTCTGTCAACCCTTACTTGTAATAAACACTAACTGATGTCAAAAGAACGAGCCCTTATTCCACAGATAAAGTGAACAATATCACATTAAGCATTCTCCCCCATAGAAGTCCGTTATAAGGAAACAGCTTAACGTGGTTTAACATACCTTAACAAAGACTGGGGAAAACCAAATTTCTGTCAAATTTTACTTATAATAAACACTTGCTGCTGTCTAAAGAACGGGATCTTATTCAGCGTATAAAGTGAATAATATCACATTAAGCATTCTACCCCATAGAAGTCCGTTATAAAGAAACAGCTTAAGGTGGACTCATCGACAAATTGAGAACATTGTAATTTTGTTCAGTTTAATTTTGTAATAAGCATGAAAGTAAAGACAGGTACATTTTCTTGTCTCAGCTCATTATCTCTAATGTGATCACGCCCTCGTGCAGAGCTCTATTCATATGGTAATGATCTATGTATATATTGTATAATTAAAAAAATCATTAAAAACAGACAAAATTACATTTATAAATTCCAAGTCGTGTATGATGTGTGTCAGGTGTGTGTGAAGATATTACAACTGGTGTGACATCATCGGGTCACATGACCAGGAAGTTATATACATTTGAATATTTCAAAAATTCATAAAAAATGCACAATATCATATTTCCAAAATCCAAGTCATGTATTATGTGTGTCAGGATTGTGTGAAGATATCACAACCGGTGTGACATCATCAGGTCACATGACCAGGAAGTTATATAGATTTTAATATTTCAAAAATTCATTAAAAATACACAGAATGACATTCCAATATTCCAAGTCCTGTGTGATGTGTTACAAGTATTACTGTATATATTACCAAAACAAGTGCCAAAACAATAGCTGTTTCTATCAGTTAAAATAAAAGGTTGGAATACAATGTAATAACAATGTAACAATTCATAGTGACTATCCCATTCACGGCTTGAAATTATGTATTAATGGTTTTTCACTTAATTCTCATCTTTAAATTGTATTTCTATGATGCTTTGCATGTTTCCAGTCTTGGAATGCATATCTTTTTTTATTATTTTTATGCACTTTTGAGACAGTCCCTTAATTTGCTCGGCGAATGTCTAACGAATGCCCATCATAAAACCAACTTTACCACACCAGTAATTAACACAGTAATAGCAAAAAAAATTTACACTTGAGGCACAAATTGTTTATGAAAGATATAAATAATAAATGTATCATATATCAACATGCTCTGGAACGTTATAAATAAAAGCAAGCAGCGTTTTTCAGCTCAAAAGAGTCTTTAGCAACTTGCCATAAAAGTATAACGTAATTTGTAGACGGTCCCTCTGATGGTGATGACGTCACACCATTCCATAGGCATGAACGTGTTTTTAAGCCTTTTAAAAACATGGACTTCTGCAGAAAAATGGATTGTAGGTACTGCTCATTATAGTCGGTAATGAAAATTAATTGTAAGTATCCTTTTTAAATGCATATTAACAAAGCTATTGAACATGTGCCATTATGAAACCAACTTTACGGCAGTTTCAAATCTCGCACATTCGGACTTCCGCATTCAATAACTTTGTTAATCTGCATTTAAAAAGGCTAATTTCGGTTAATTATAATTACCGACTGTTATGAGCACAAACTTCAACACATTTTTCTGCAGAACTCGACGTTGTAAACTTGACGTCACAAAACTCTATGGAGTGTTGTGACGTCATCGTCTATCCGAGGGACCATCTACAAATGACATGTTTCGATTGCGACAGCCTGCTAACGATTCACTGTCCATGGTACTAAGGTCATCATAGAACATGACATCATATGGCGCTTTTCCACTGCGTGGTACGACTCGGCTCGGTACGGCTCAGTACGGTACGGCACGGCTCGGTTCG